ATTTTCTTAGATTGTTTTGGATGAGATTTTTCAGGATGTACCTACTCCTGTCATGTTTGGGATACTTAGCAAAATAAGGAAGCAAATGAAAAGCTTTGTGGCCCATACCAGGTATCATGAAGCTGTCAGTGCCCGGTTCTAGTACAGAATTACCRAGTAATGGACTGTGAGAGCATTAACCCTTGGCTTTCAGTTCCCTGGTATTGGACTGGRAACTTCTGTGAGCAGTCAGAAAAAAGTTACAAAACTGTACAGAGATGGAGTTTGTGTTTCTCCCCCTCCAAAGCTTTGGGCAGTGGGTCTGCTCTCTTCCAGTGCATCTCTGCTGAATGATACTGCAGRGAGAGAAGCAACCTAACTTTTTTCCTTTTCCTGCTACAGTAAGGCCTACTCCTTACTTACTGGTGCCCTATGTACATAAGCCAAGCACAAAAAGGTATTRAAACTTTCCTCTCTCATCTGTAAAATAAGTTCTTTAGAAATGCAAAGAATTCAAGCCCTAGCAGTGTTTCTGATTAATACCTGCTTCAAATCTTTGAAACATTTGTTTTGGGACARAAGATTAATCACAGTAGATTATCAGTCCTAAAGGTCTTTGGTGTATTTTTTATTGCTAGAAATTACATGCTTTTAAAAAACAATTAATATCTCCTCCTAGGAATGTATATTCTGTCTTTATCTGTCTCCCTGTATGAGCTTGCTGCATGTTGACAAGTCCTATAGAATTATTTCCAGTCTGTTTGAATGTTTTTTTCCCCTTTATTCAACTGTAAGCACAATGTCAAATCAAAGCTGTGGTGTGAAATGTATTTTGCTGGGAAATGGCCATGATGAATTCGATGCCGTGCTGGTTACTTGCTGTATTTCAAGGTGGGGGAGCTATATTTGATCTTGAGGGTGGAAGAGAAAACCACAGTGTGCAGGCTGGTGGCTGTTCTATTGCTAATTCATTTCCAGTTTGGGGGGAAGAATATCTGCATTCTCTCTTTATTTTATCAGGCCAGATATTAGCATGCATTATGGCTCTAGCTATTTCAGCAAGAGTTCAGTGGAAAATTTAATTCCTAGGAGAGTTGTGCATGGTTCTGAGCCATAACTAAGTCTTTTAACTCCTGTGAATCATAATAAAGAGTAATAAGTAAAAAGACACTGCTCCTTTAAATCAGTGTCACCAGTGACTCAGAATATCTATTGATTTTTTTTTCTTTATTCCTACCAGCAGTTTCAATTAAGATTCAGCAGGTCCACTCTGAGAAAACTCTGCATTAAGCACTGCCTGATACTCTTGATTAATACTCCTTTTTAAATTCTGYTTGAGAAATGAAGACTTAAAAGTAATTATATCTGTAAAATGTTAAAACATTGATCTAAAAGGCTAGTATAATACCCAGTTCYTAGCTTTTGTTACGTATTTTTGAGTGTATAGTTACTGGAATCTATAAATTTATGTATTTCATCAAATTTTTTCAGACAACAGCTATACAAATTTTAAAAGTTAATTATATTCCCCCAGACATACTACTTTGTGAATATGAGAGAATTGCAGCATGGTTTTGAAAAAAAACCCAAACAACAATGCTGTAATTTCCCTGCAAATAGTGTCTGTATCAACAAATCATCTGGACAAAATGGTTATGGGCTGTTTGTCTTTTCCCTTTGTGATGCACTAAGCAAATTTCAGTGCTTCATCCCCATGTGAGCCATGTGCTAATTTGGTGTTTATACCAGGTTTGTCAATCCTTTGATCTGTATTTGTTCATTTTTGGGAGGCTGACTCCAGATGTGCAACCGTTGTTGTTTCACATAGGATTGTGTGATAATATTCCACATGGAAGCCCGGTGGAAAGAAGGTAACCTGAAGCTTTCTTGTTCTCCTTGAAATCGTGATAACTGCAGAAAAATAAATGAGAAGGGCAGCCATTAGGGAGAAGAGCAAGATGCATGTGTAGAATAAATGCTATTAATAAAAAAGGTTTGCCTCCTGAGCCACCGTGCTTCCCATATAAATTTCCATATTGGCATGTGACAACTGCTGTAATTGTTTGCATTAAAAAGTAGTATCAGGAATGTAGTATATTTCTAGCTCTCACTACATCTGTAGAAACAAACAAAAAAAAAGGTTAACATTTTTCTGTAAGCCAGTTTTCTGAAGACTGTTTGAGATCTGTGATATCTGTTGTTATTTGGAAACCTTTGGCAAGAAAAAGTACAACACAAATATCTGTGAAATTTCAAAGGTATATTTGTTGCTGATATATTTATTACTTGCTGTGTATAGATCTTTCTGAAGTCTTCTGCCATTTCACAAACAAACCCTTTCCATTTTCACTTGGTAGGCTTCCATTCTTTTTCCTAATCAGGCAACAAGTTTTTCTTTACTTTCAAGATTGTATGCTGGAGAACTTATTAAATGTAACTTCACTGTCATCAGCCTTTGGAGGGAGGCCTCTGAGAAGTGTATTAGGTCTTACACATTTGATTTTCTACTGGTTTGGAAATTGGCAGGTTAACATAAAAGGGCTGAAATGCAGGTTAACAAAAAAGGGCTGAAATATCCTTGCATGGTGAGTGAAAAATGTAAAGAAATAAATTGCTGGTGTACTTTCGTGCAGAGAGGGATTTATTTAAGGAAGCTGCATTGAATGGGGGTTGAAATTTCCTGTATTGTAATTTTAAAATGCCAGATCAGGAACAGACCTTGAACATGAGTGGTGTCTAAAGTCCGTGACTGACAATTCATCATTGMAGAGCTAATGTTATTTGGCTGTTTACCTGAAGAAATGGAGGATATTGTAAATTTACATTGTAAAGAGTAATGAAWATAAAGCCCAGTGCAAGGAGGATTAATCATGAAGAAATGCCACTGCTGAATGCCTGGGGCTCCCTGAAAACGTGACACCATCTGATGTATTTAAATATCGTTAGGACTGTGTGCTGCAGCTGTAATGAGAAGGACTCTGGAACAAACACTGCAAATCAAGTAACTAAATCTGGTGCACATGATGTTGGTGCACCRGCCTTGGAGGGGAAGAGAGTGACAAGATTTCCCTGTCTCATGAACAGGAGCAGTATCAGTAAACAGGCTGAACGGGAAATCTTCATGTAAAGGAAAAACATAACAAAAACATGTGAGGAGAAGTGAGATGAAAAATAACTAGAATACAGGAGAGGGAGAACTGGAAAACTCCCCAAATCAAATCAATAAGAAACATGATGAACTGGGAAAAATATTTAAAAATAATCGAAGCCAAACTGTGTAAAAATTAAAGCCAAACTGTTAAAAAATTTTAAAAGTCATTGAGTCCAAAAAGAAAAAAAATTAAGCAATGGAGAAGTAGAGAAAATACAAATTTGTAGAAAAGATATTGATTTAGTTTTAACCTATGCCTCTTTGTGAAACATGAATTTAGAAGACCTTTGGTAACCAGACCAAGAAAATCTTTAAAATCATTTGATTAGATTGAAGGCCAAAAGATAAACTCCCTTGATAAGCAAAAATGTTCACTGTTCATTTGCCTTCCAATTGATTTTCCTTCAAGCTAAGAAAGAATCATGTTACATTTGGAYAGAAGTCAGCATTACTATAAAACATGTAAAATATGAAGCAATGGTTACTTAAGAGTTGTTAAAACTACAGAACAAATTACAAGTMTGCAAAGATCCAAAAGGAAACAAGTTTATGTCTATGTATGAGAAAAAACTGCCCCACCTAYTGTCCAGCAATACCAGTTTTGAAGGATGATTTGCTTTCTTTTCAGTTGCTACAACCAGAGAATTTATTTCTTAATTTAATRCTTCCTTCAAATGTAATTTATTTAGGTTGTTCAGGTGTTAAATCAGAAATATGCTGAATTTAAATTTTATCTTTTTGGGCATACATGATATCTTTACAAAAATAAATCAGTAGTCTCAAACATTTACAGTCTTTAACAAACTGTCAGTTTTATCATTTTTGTATTTTACACTAGTAAACATGCAGTTATTATTTGCATTAATGTCACCATATTAGTTTTGGTTTGGAAAGAAGCAAGCATCACTGTGCGTTTATTGAGCTGTGTTATATTGTGTTTAGCAGAAATTGACAGTTCTCCCTTCAAGATCCCTTTGGAAACAAAACAACTTCACTGATAATTGACATATTAATTGTATGTGCCTTAAAGCCATTGTGTCTGAAGGGCTGTTGTCCTGCACTTTTCTAGAGCTTGGCTTCTTGTATCTTCATTTCAAGTAGTAAATCTTGTATGCTAAATCTAAGTAAATGGAACACTCCCTCTACATCATCATACAGAAGCTTTAAATTACATAGGGATGAGGTTGACAAGATGTCCTCAACCTCTGACCTTTTCAGAGTCTTTCCCAAAGAGAAGTGAAGGTCACTTATTGTTGTCTGTGTGATAGAGACTTGATTGCACATTGATTTGAAGTTGGGTGGATTTCTTTGTCTTCATGTCTTTAAAAGTGCTCCTAAAACCATTATTTGCACTCTCTTACTGTACTGTAATGCCAAAAGAAAGGTCATGGCAATTTATATTTTTACATTTGAATATCTAAGAGAAGGTCATGGGGTCAGTAGAGGTGGATGAAAAGCATTTTCATCCCTCAGCTGAGTAAGCTGTGAGATTCTGGGTTCATTTGGGTGGCGTTTCATCTTTTTTAAGAGCAAAGGCTTTTTTTTCAACTTTAGTGTTGGGGTTTTTGCAGTAAAATTTGGGTTTAGACTTTGCTTTTACTATCTTCTCTTCACAGTTACCTGATTTTTAGCATTTCAGTATCATCTGTAGCATCTAGCATCCTAATAGTTCAGGGTACTCTGGCAAAAACAAAATAAGAAGAATAAAATAAATAAAGGAAGAATTGAATCCAGAAGAGTGCCTGTTTTGCCTTACAGTTTGTTTGCAGCTGACCTTTGATAATAGCTGTTTCATAGTTGCMGATTTTAGAATTCATTTGGAATGTGTTCTTGTCTGAACTTTTTGTTCTTGTTYTCTTTTCTTTTGTAGATTACAGATAGAAGAATCTTCTAAACCTGTAAGGTTATCACAGCAGCTGGAGAAAGCTGTAACCACGAATTATAAACCAGTGGCTAATCATCAATATAATGTAAGTAGCTTTTAGTATTTTCTCTTCTTCAGGAATAATATGGCTTAGGATGCCMGGACTTCTCTGCTGCAGTCTAGCAGCTCTTTTGCTTACAGTTGGCCACTCTCTTTGGAAATGCTCTGGTTTCTCCCTGATTTTGTCTTCTAGGGATCTTCTTGCTGTCTCAAGACCAATAGCACCCCTGGGGCTAAGGTCTGCCAGTTGTAACTGTCTTATGTTATCGGATGGAGGGCAGACCATCTTCACCAAAACCTTTTTAGTGGCTTTATTACATTCTTCCTCTAATATTTTTTTAATGTAATTTTGATATTTTGTGGATAAAGGGCAGTTCTGGTTTTGTGCTRTGAGATGTGGAAGCACTCTTTTGAGCCAAATAACTTATCATCTGCAGGAGGGTGAAGGACTTGGAAAGAATCATTAGTTTCCAGTCCTTTTTAGGAATTGACAGCAAGTAACAAAGAATAACAGCTGATAATTCTTCTCAGCTTCATACCTTCACGGTACGTATTATTGGCATCATTGACTTTGTCAATCTTACACCCACACTGCTGTTCCAGATCAGTTGATGTACATATTAACTATAATGTCCTTTACCTTAAAGATCCTCTTTGAGTAATTTGTATGTATGCATATAGAATTGCTATTACTGCTGAATATGAGGAATGTTAAGCCATTCTGAAAATGAGTCGTTGTGTTAGTCATTTAAACTTTTACACTTTTTATTAAGATTTTATTTACATAAAACAAGTGACAATATATGATGATATTTAAGCATTATTGTGAAAGTCGSTCTATTGCCACAGAAGCAGAAATAATTGTTTGTCTCTCATGGGACAGTTTTGTAGTAGTTACTGTTCAAGGTTTGATCTATACCATATATAACTATTGCAGCTGTGGAAATGACATTACACCAAAGTAATCACACTGGTGTGTCCTGCTATGCAGATGCAGTTTCATATGACTATATTGTTTTTTGTTGCTACTGGTATTCTCCTTCATTAATTCTGGAATAATCTTTGGTGATGTACAGCTTCTCTTTTTAATGGGACACTGTGCCATTTCCCTGACACCAGCATAATTACAGCAATGTCACTTCAACCTGGAGACAATCTTTGTATCTTTATTACAGCTGTAAACTGCAGTCATCATATCATTATGGAAATTTAAATGTTGTGTGAGATTGAGGGCCTATTACCAGGACATAACTGGGCCTCTTGAAAGTGATGCTGCTCTGGGTCCTAATTGTAATGTTTGTATTGGTTACGTAGCTGTCCATGGTCATGGAATTCTATCGGCAGTGTGTTTAGTTTTCATGTCTACCTTAAAGGTGTTCTGATGTGAAAAATCTCATAAGACATACTTGAATCACCTAGACCTTGCCTTGACTCTAAAGGCTCAGGCACRACTACTTTCTACAATGTCTTTATTTTCATTAAGTCTTTTATTAAGGTTCAGGTTAGATGGCTGTAAGGATATACAGCTGGGAGGCAAAGTCCCTGAACTTCTAAAGCCTCTTGSTTTAATTTTTCTACTGTTTTCAAGCAGCAATTGCTTTCTTAAAACCTGCTGCATTGCATRTAATCATATGGCTGCTCTGGGGATGGGATTATCACAAGAAAGAAAAATGTACAAACTACCATATATGCTAATACCTTCAGTCATCATCAGGGCAGTTTCTGAGGAAAGAATGAGTATCTACTAAATAAGACAGAAAGGGTTAACATTTCCTGAAGGAAAGAATGTAAAATGGGGCTTAAGTGTGACTGCTTCATGTACCTATAAATGAACATACATCAGGAAGGAGGAGGGAAATAAATCCATGTGGATGGGAAAAGCAATAGCTTTTTTGAATTCAGGGAATGGAAAAGTGATTAGGGTTTTTTTTTTGCCAGAAATTAAGTTAAACCTGCATTTTTATTACAAGAAATTCCAATTCCATTACAATATATGCTAAGATTCCCTGGGAAAGGGACCTCCATTATATTTATAAATAYTAAATGCGTTTACAAAGTTGCAAGGTTAGTGTTATTGCAGCTGGAACTTTACCTTTCTGTGACCTAATTATTTTTYATAATACAGCAGGAAAGTTCTCCAGCGGTTCTGGTTGCCCGTTCGCCCATTCAGAGGCTTCCTTCAGAGGTTTCTTTGTGGTCTGGTCTTCCCCCTGTCCTGTACTGTAGAGGTTGGTACCTCTGTTCCAGGAAACAGGAAAACTTTTAAGACTACTTTCAAGCATCTTTAGATGAAGCTTTGGATTTATTCTCACTTCTCTATCACCTTTGTATTAGCTGTCTACCGAAGCAGTTACATAAGCTCCAGAAATCGGGAGAAGTTTTCAAAGGGGACCGAAAAATACTTGTTTTACCCAACTAGATTAGATTCCATTGTTTTTAATAATGTTTGCACTGCTGTTGGTTGCACATCAAGTTTGCTGATGACACAAAGCTGGGGGGAGTGGCTGTGCAGCCCTTCAGAAGGATCTTGACAGGTTGGAGGGATGGGCAGAGAATAATTGGCTGAAGTTCATCAAAGAGAAGGGCAGGGAAGGCACCTAGAGAAGAATAACCCCAGACACCAGCACAGGATGGGGGCTGGCCTTCTGGAAAGCAGCTCTGAGGAGAAGGATCTGGGTGTCCTGGTGGACAACAAACYGTCCATGAGCCAGCAGTGTGCCCAGGTGGCCAAGAAGGCCAAATGTGTCCTCAGGTGCATTAGGAAGAGCAGTCTTGCAGGTGGCACTCTCCCACATCTCATACTTCATCCCACCTCTCACACAGCAAGGAGCCAGTCTACTGGCTACTACTCTTCACTCCTTGTACCATTTCTTTAAGTGCTTTAGGTGCAAGGATACTTCTGTTCACGTACCAGGACATGAGTAGTGCTGTAATCATAGTAATTTTCAGATTAGTTACATATATCCAACTTCTCCAATACCTCCATGACTGTGTAAACATACCCAGAGAACAAGCCAGCTTTTGTTGTGGAGTTGTGGAGTTGTAACCAACAGAGACAGATAATCCCTGAGTGACCCAGATCACGCTGCTTGGTAAAGAATTCAACTTATGTCATATTATGGTGTCATCATTTTTATTGTATTAATGGATCCTGACTGTAGTTGGGGTTTGTAGTTTCAAAGTGTGTTGACTTAAACAAGTATATCTCTGTTTCATGTATTTATGACTAGATGCAGTCTACATGCCTTAATTCTGCATAGTGAGACTGTACCAGAACAGAAGCAGAAATGGAATCCACCACAGGGCTTCCAAAGACTGCAATTAAAACCTTTTCAAGGTCAACAGAGGCTCCTAATAATTGTCTGTTGGACTTGCAGAAGATGCAAATGTTTTGATATGCTGWTGTTTATAGGAAGGCCAGTGTCACAGGTTTTTGTTCCTACTCTTGTGTCTGTGGTATAGCAGTTCTGCTGTAGATCATAGCAACCAAGATGAAGTACTGTCAAACTGGTTTGCTTGATGTTACAGTTTGCTATGTTGCAAAGCTGTTACTGTTTTGAAGATTTATTCTTTAAATGCAGTGGCAAAAGAGTTAAATAATTACACTAAACTGTGTTAGTGGATAAAAATCAACTGCATGATGGGTTTGTGTGGTGAGATTGTAGCTTTTATAATATCACATGGAGTTGGAAAAACAGGCAGGTATTTGGTTGCACATGCCCAGTTTAGATTTGAGGCAGAAGCAAGAGACTTCATGCTACAAGTTGGGGACAATTGCTCTGCATCCAGTTTAATGATGCACATCCATTTCAGAATTTGAAAGAGGTAGGTGGCTGGCTGGAGACCTGGGAGCTACAGCAAAGGTGGTAATAGTCTTTAGCCACTTTGSGACAGCCACCAAGAGACAGGCTATTTTCACTCAGAGAGTAGGAGGGAGTTAGCTGGCAAGGATACATAGGAAAAAATAAATTGTGCCATAAACCAAACCTTTCTTCTTAAAAATAAAATCTTTGGTATCCAGTAGAACTGTGCATTTTCATTTTTAGGCTTTTAATCTGAAGGTCTTCCTTTTGAGGGTCAGGTTTGTGTCATCAGAAGCAGAAGGACTCCCATACAGAATTACCCCACTTACAGCCAGACATGTGWCCCTTATTGATCACATGCATCTTTCTTCTGTACATTGTGCTGCTGTGGATTCACCCACGCACTTTGCCTGAAAGCACTTGATGATTACATGACTTAYATTACCTTCTGGATCACTTTTGTTGGTTCCAAGGAGCTGGATGGTTTTCTTTTCGAGGGTAGTATTGGGGGGTGGATGGGGTGATGTGCTGGCAGGTGTTGTGGCTGGTGCTCTGTGGGGATTGGGGTTTGTTTGGGGTATGCTGGTCTGTGCAAATCTGGCTTCTGATGATGAATCAGAGGAAGTATTTTTAGAGGCGATAAAAGTTTCTGCAAAAATATATCATCATCTTGTGAGATTATAGTGGTTAAGAAATATTTAATGTATAATTTGAGTTAGGATGATGTGTGGCAACAAGGGACCTCTGCCTGCTTAAAAGGTTTGGTTTTCTCGGACTAGAGTAACTTCATGTGTGCTACTCTGGTTTCTCCTGAAGAGAAACCATCCACATCCACAGAGTGTGTCTTTGAAGATTGGTTGTATATAGATGGAGTGATGCCTTGAATGCTGCTTCTGGAGCAAATGAGTGTCCAAGGGCTGTTGGAGCATCCTTTGGGCAGGCGCTTTTTATGATTGTGGAAGTARCCATTCTGGTCTCTGGATTTTCCTGAGCACAGCACTTTGGAGGTTGTTTGAAATTTGTCACTGTATCTCAGAAGTGGGATCAACAGAGGTGGAGTGAGAATACCATCTCAGTTTGGATTCCTGTACTATTATTAATACTTTTTCCAGGTTTGGGTACCTGTAGGCTCTGTTTCTGCTTTTTTTTTCTGGTTGAAGCAGGTATACACATCTGAAAAGCTTATTGTGCTGAGGACAAAATGCTTACTTTATGTTCATAAAAGAACATTTGAATGCTGAAAAGAAAATTTTCCAGATGAAAAACACTGAGTCATTGAACAGTGTTTTATCAAATAGAAGAGGCTTTTTTGTAGCTTAATGTTCACCACTGAGAATTATACAGCATTACATATGAGTGTCTTTAAAACATGTTTTGTAACAGATTGAATATGAGAAGAAGAAGAAAGAAGATGGAAAACGAGCTCGAGCTGATAAACAGCAAGTGTTGGACATGCTTTTTTCAGCCTTTGAGAAACATCAGTATTACAACATTAAAGACCTGGTGGACATAACCAAACAGCCTGTGGTATGTACTGGAAGTCTTGTAAATATAACCATTTTCAGTAGTTACTATTGTGTGTATTATACATGTTCCCAAAAAAGTTTAATATATATTATATGCCTTAGAAACTCCTCTCTACATAGGTTTTACAACAAACTTAAATCACCAAGTTTTAAGTTCAGCATTGTAGGACAGTGTATGATACCAGGTGTTGCAGTGACTGTGCTTGCTATTGACAGAGATGGTTTAAATCACCTAAATGGTCTGTTTCTTGTTTAGGTTTGCTTTAATACTAGGAACCAAATTCTGTAATGCTCTCATGTCTCCCATGCTACTYCTGTCCTCACTGAAGCCTAGTTCTCCTGGCAGTAGAGCATTTGTGTGTGTGGTCAGCCCTTCCCTCAGCTTCTGAACTTTATTTTGTCACARCAACAGGGGTTGCTCTTTTCCTGTGAGTCTAGAAAACTGTATTTCATGGAATTAGTATTAAATGCTGCCATTATCCATGTTAGGAGCTCAGGCATCATGTCAATTCCTCCAAAATCACTGGATTCCCTGTACAAACAGGATCATTTTTAGGTTAAGAATTCAGGTAATTGATATTTAGGATTTATTTGCACATTTCTTTTAAACAGTGTTTTKATATACAAACAAGAAAAGCACCAAGACATCTATTTATGTGATGGTTTTATCTTGCAGTGTCTGTCAGCCTCTTCATGTATGAGCCATAATTTCCTATTTCTTTCCCTTCTTTCCCTGTTCAACCTTTCCTTGAGCTGACCAGGCAAGAGTGGGAGGGAGACATGTGAATGACCACATTTGGTGTTTTTGATGTTTTTCACTGCCAACTTCAATATCTATCCTCAACCCAGCTGCAGATTTCAGAAGACTTACGGAGACTTAATTTAGTCTAAATGGAGCAACATTGTCACAAGGTGTTAGAGCTAAGGCAGCAGGAAGAATAGTAACAGTTGGATAATGGAAAAAATATGCTGTAAAAAAAGGGGAAAAATTAAGATGCCTAGTAGTTTCGCTCACTTCACATTTAGACTGAAGTATATCYGTGACAGCATTTGTATAAGTGAACAATCTGTTTGGTCAGAAGCTGCATAAAGATGTTGTCCAATTCAAATCCATGTAGGTTCACTGTGTTCTAGYGCCTTGAAAGAAACGAGTTAACATWTCCATGTCTTCTGTTCATTTATCTCATGAGTCAGCTCCTTACCTCTGTGTCAAAGAAGGTGTGTCAGTCATGGGAGCTAAGCAGGATGAAGGAATAGGGGGAACATGTGGAGGAAGTGGCAAGAAAATTTTAAGTGGCTTTTTTTGGTAAGAGAAGTGTGGCAGTCTCTGTCTCGATCACTTTGAATGCAAGTCGGTACGGATTTATCTCATCTACCATGACATCAGCTTGTGGTAGTCACTCACAACTCCCACTTAAGCCACTGGGGAACTTGAAGTTAGAAACAAATTATTTTCTTATGTAATGGGAAATGTAAATAGTAAATTAAACCCTTGCTACAGAATATGTTGCATGTTACACAAGAAATTGCTGCCATCTTTATTTGTGTCATGAAACCATAAAGCAAGTCTTTTCTGAATGTAAATTGCTGCTGTATTAGGGAAACCTGCGTTTATTTGTTTCTCATTTTAATGCAGAATAACAATTTGCAGTAGTAGGCAAACCTGTTGCCACCTACCTACCCAGATKTAAGTATAGAGTGCTCCCTGGAAATATTGCAGTAATAAATAAAGTATTCTAGACTTGGGCTTCATGGCTGAAAACATAATACAACTGTCCACGTGCAATCAGATATTGGTAAAGAATAGAACCAGTATGGAACCAGTGGTCTGAGATGAAATGTATTTTTAAAAATTTGCGTAGATAGTTTGCAATTTTTCTTCTATTTTAGCTTTAAGTAATGGTTATCATAAATCCAGTGGGGTTTGTTTACCCCTCAGAGTTTYAGAAGGATTTTCAGAGCTTGGAACTTAACTCCTCAGAAATTTTTATTGCATGATTCCATTGTAACATTTCACTTTTTATGGAAAAAATCATGAGGGAAGGTGGAACACACAGAGGATGCTTTAAATATACAAACAGATAAGCTACAGATGAGCTTCTGTGCTAGATTGTATGTACTTAAACATCCTGGAAACCTTTCTGAAAAAAAATTGTGAACATCTGATTAGCAATCATCAGGCTTCCAAGTTCAGTATTTGGCATCACTGGGAGTAGTGCGGGGGTTTCTCTCCATGGTATGGTTTCAGAGCACTATGTTTCAAGATACATAGGCCAGCCTGGTGCAGTAGAGACCCAGGTGGGGAGTCCTGGTTTCTAGAAGGAGAATTGATCCTGCAGGAAAAATCRTAACATCCCCTGAACTCTTTGAGCCACTTGCTCTCAGGTACGCTACAGCATAGTAAGATTATACATGATTCATAATTGTCAAAAAACCCYAGCAGTTCAGTGCTTCTGTGTTTTGGGGTTAATGCCTGAGCTGCCTTCCCTAACACCTCTACTGCCTAGTTGCCCTCTGCAGCAGAGATGGGAAATAGGAGTATGTTGCAAATCCTCAGCTGCTGCAGTTCACAGTTCCAGTCTGAAGTGCCCTTATCTGTGGCACAGACCTTACCTTGCTGTTGAATTTGGGTTGTTTTTGTTATGTTTCATTAGGCTCTTGAAAGTTTTGTCCCAAGAGAAGMAGAACTGCCTGGGTAATTAGATCTGAAAAGTACTTGAAATTTAAAATAATCTTCTTGTAGCTGGGTTGGCAGGTTTGGGTGGGTGCTGTGGAAAGTTCARCCACAGCGGTTTTGCTCTGCCTGAGCCCAGGAGCAGAATCATGCCTTGGGTCCTGGCTTCCAAGTACAGACTGGATCTGCCGGCCCAGAACTGCACATGGACGTACCACATGGTACTAAGTGCAATTTTGAGGGATTTTTTCCAATTCTCGGTTCATGCGGTTTAGAGCAGAATAGGTGTTTCTCCCACCCACTCTGCCATGCTTTGGAATGTCTGTCGGTGACACTGCCTCCTGTGCTTGCTCAGGGATTGTATCCAGGCAGTGGATATGCAGATGTGCACAGCTGCACACACGCACGCAGAAAGGGCTTTCTCACCTGCTCCCAGCACCTTTTACACAGTGCGTGGTGCATCGGGAGTGYGTGTCCCGGGTACCTGACTGGAATAATGTGGGCGCCGCTGCAAGAGCCGAGGTGTGTGGAGGGGATGTCGGCGATCTCCTGCTGCCACCTGCTGGGGTTTGCATCCAGCGCCCCCAAGGCTGAGGCGCCATCCCTGCACAGTAAACTCTCTGCTCCTGTGCCCAGCTGCTCTGYTCAAAGGGAACACCCTAAAAAGACCCCAAGAAACTGGTTCATATACACATCTGTGATGGTCATCTTTCTTCCTTGTTTTATTGCTGTGCAGTTTTGATATATACCTGGAAAGGGAGAGTAAGGATAAATTTCTCTAAAAGAGACTGTTTTTACTGACTGAGAACATATTTTTTATTTACGTATTTCCTAGCTTGTCCGTTTAGGAAAGGGGGAAGAGTGTAAGGAACAGACCTTAGGCAATCAGCTTTTCTTATTTTCCTATGTCTTTGACACGTATTAGCTGGTTTTAATGTCTTGGAGTATGTTGATATTTGCCCTTAGTGGAACTGTAGATGCAGAAAATACAAGTGTTCCAACAACTCCAGTTCAATCTAAGCACTCCAACAGGATTAAATTGCTCAAGTGAAAGCAATTATGAATTTAATGTGGGGATTCTTAAACTGTGGTCTGCGGTTGCCATGACAATGGACTCATATCAGTGCCAATTAATAATTTAACAAACAAGCAGGCTCTTGTGACTCTTAAGAAAATTASTGGTATTTATTATAAAGAGTGAGGGAGGGCAATATCAGTGTTTTTTTCTTTCTCTGCCAAGCCTAAATATTTCAATGTATTAGAAAATACTCAGATGTCTACTCAGTTCTCCTCCTCAGTTCTCCTTTTATTAAGCATAATAAAATGCTTAAATCTTTTTAAAATGGCATGAAAACCAACAGCTTGAGGCTTTGACAAAGTCTGAATAAGGCAAGGGGTTTCAAGATAATCCCAGCCCAAGCAAGAAGAAAGGTCAAGAGCTTTTAGTTCAGTTGGAGGAATTCCAGCAGGAAAAAGATGTGTGAGATAATACTTCCCAAGAGATGCTGGTAACTTCATTTCAGCAGCCCCTGGAGCATCCAACTCGCAGTACTTGCCTCTCAGAGGGAATTGGAGGGGGACATYGCCACTGGGGCTCAGGTGCTCCCTGCTGCATCCCTGGGGCTTGGCCTAATCCCTGCTGGTGGCTGCCATTTATGTCTATCCCAGAATCCTTCCCACATCAGTTAGTGCCCATCAGCCAGCCTGGGGTCCTGCCACTTAGGATCTGAGTCCATGTGATTGGCCAAGTGTGTGGGAACTGTTGCTATTGCCTGCCTGTTTCATTGGAATTTTTGTTTCCTTTCAGATATACCTGAAAGAAATTTTGAGAGAAATAGGCATCTACAATGTGAAGGGGACCCACAAAAACACATGGGAGCTGAAGCCAGAATACAGACATTACCAAGGAGAAGAAAAGAGTGATTAACAAAATCATTTATGAAGTAAGAGAGATTGCACTGAGGGAACTGTGGTGTTTACAGACAGGACGGAGCACAGTGCAATTCTGCGAGGATAAATTAAAGCAGCTGGTACTTYGTAATTTTCTGTAGCTTTTTTCCCCAAGGAATATTTCTTGTATGTTTCTATATATGCTTTGTCTTTTAACAGGAAAAGTTTATAGAATAAACTTGTACTAGATTTAGCTTATTAGAAATCTTTTGAGTTCTCTTTTTTTCTTGTAGCTTTGTGGCTTTTCCAAGCTTTGATAACTTTGACATAAAATGTGTCTTAGAGGAACCCATAACTTTTGTGGTTTTGCATTCCAGTATAACCAGGTTAATACCCTCAGTTCTGGGATCTCTCAGGGCTTCATCTGGAAGCCTGCAAAGGTGCACCCTTTGTGCAGTGTTTGAGTGGAATGGACATGATGCTCCTCTTGGGATCAGGCTATAAGGAAAACAGCCACAACCATGGTGCTCATCACAATTCTTAGACCCTCTGGGAACAAACCAATGCAGTTAAAAACCCCTAAAGTCAGTGGGAAGATGTCAGTCCCCTCCATGTAATTATTGAGAAGAAAATGAAATGTCTGTTAGGTACAGCAAAAAATAGTTTTGTTTTGTTTTTATGCTGATACCTATGTTTTGTTAAGCATAACAATAAAAACATTATTTTAATTTGTACCACACAGTGCTCTACATCATTGACTGAACATGTTGTGATTTAGGTGGCATAGGTCTGAAGGGTTTTTTCAAAGCATGTTTTTATTGCTTACTGTGCCACTGGGTTCTACTGTGGTTTGGGAAAGATTGCTAAATGTATCTGTGTCTCTCTTCCTGTTTCTAAAATGCACACTGCAAGGGTTATCCCTTCAACATCCTTTTTGGGAGGGAGCAGGGAGGGGACTATTTAATTATATTCACAAAACTTTTATATTAAAGAAAGAGCAAAGAACACAGAGAGGGAAAACCTCATTAGTATACCTGTAAACGAAGCAGGTGAGGTTTGATAGCTCAACTTTCACATTCCCTCATGTCCTTCAGATATGTGCATCATTTCTGTTCACGCTAATGAAACAAGAGGTCTGTGTGAGAAGCAAATATTGCATTATTGGTCCATTGACAGCAATGAAAGGCTCAGGGGGCAGTCAGATGTTTTYGGAGATTTGTAAAACAGCTTTTACATATAAGTCACACTATTTTGCTCAATTTATTCTTTTCTAGAATTGTTTGTGGAGGTATCTCTCTACAGGTACACTTTGGGGCAGTGCTCAGCATCCTGTGGAATGCAGCGTTCATCTCCTAGGAGGTGGATTGAAGAGCAGATCCCATTCCAGGGGGGTGTGTGTGCTTTTGTAAATACTGCCATGACTTRTGTCTCCTCAGGCTCTAAAGGACCCAGTTTGCAGATGGCTGCGGGAGCCATCTGAGGATGCCAAGAGGAACACAGGAAGTCAGCCTTTGTGTCTTGCTGTGGAACATGATGTGCTCCCAGGCAGTAGCCAGGGCATGCTCACACTTCTGTCCTCATGGTGCTGCCGGAATCCTCCCTGGGCTTGTGTTCAGAGCCATGTAGGATGAGAGCTCTTGGCTTTCATGAGCTGGGCTGCTCTGTGGGATCTGTCTCCTGTTTCAGCAGCTGAAGCACCCAGCAAATTTAGRTCAGTTTTTCCCTTGTGTTAGACCTCACATGGTCCTCTAAAACCATGCCAGGGGGAYGCTATGCTTAATCCTGACTTAGTAGTGGTAATTCCTTGCTACAGGTAAAAAAGGACTAGGTCATGTGGTTATCTTCCGTGGGATCCCCAGCARGATTAGTTTCGCAGGAAGGTTTTGGATCTGCTTGTATTTCTGGTTTTATGTGAGGTGCTTCAGTTTATCTTCAGTTGAGAGAGACATAATCAGCATGAAATGCAAGAACATCTAGGTAAAGGAGGTATTTCACTCATCTGGGGAGTGCCTTTGGACAGGGTAAATAAACTCTACTCAGGAGTAATGGAAAATGTACAGAGCACCCAGTTTTTTATGGGGTTTATGGTCTTTACAAAGGACTGAATTTTTTATGGGTATCACTGAAAATGTGTAGAGTGCTAGAAGTAAAGCTGTGGGATCTTGCACTATAAACTGTCCTAGGGCAGCAGGATAACCACCACTATGAGCCCCATATTCTCCCTTCTGCAGTAGCCCAGGGCACTGCAGGACTAGTCTAAATTCCTGCAAGCCTGGGCTGATGACTGAACATTTGGGAGAACCTCATTTGGATCCATCCCTTAATAACCAGCAAAACCTCTCCAGCTCCGCTGCGCTTGTTCTGCACGAGCACCTTACACAAGAGCTGTTGGCAGGATTGCCATCTGCYAGCAGAGAGGAGAAGGAGGCTCGTAGGTGTTCAGGTCTGATTGCCTGGCCCCCACATTTGGGTTCATTTAAACTCTGGGCTCACTGCAGTGATGAGCAATTCCCTGCTGGTCCTCATGTGCTGCTGTCTCTGCTCGCCGCTGAACTCTGCTCATGCAGATGTTCTTGAGTATTAGTGATCAAAACACTGCTTGGTGAGTGGGTCCCACAGGCACGAGCTGAAGTTTCTGTGTGCTWAACACCATTAACTGACATTAAAAGCATGTCCACTCTCCAGCATTGCTTTTCCCAAATGACCAGTTTGAGTCACTCATACTCAGTAAGCCCAGGCASTACCAGCATGGGTGTGAGCAGATACGAGGTGACAGCCTGCCCTTTAGAGATCTCCCTGATCAYTCAACCTCCGTTCTCTTCACCCCCACTCCAGGGGAATGGGGAGGAGAATCAAAACCTGTGTGTTGAGGTAAGAACAGTCTAATAAATTAAGCAAAATGTAGTAGCAATGGTAAAAAACTATTAAAATAATAAAAAGGGGAAAACAAGTGATGCACAATATAACTGTTTACCACCCTGACTGATGCCAGACCACCCTTCCTGAACCCAGGTCGGCCCCCCTTATGGGTAAGTTTCTCCAGTTTATATACTGGGCATGGCATTCTGTGGTGTGGAATATCCCTTCGGTCAGCTGTCCCAGCTGTGCTCTCTCCCAGTTTCTCTTGCATCCCTCCTCACTAGCAGAGCATGAGACAATGGAATGGAGAAACATCATGAGCAAAATCCCAAAACATCAGTATGCTGTTCTCATTCCTAATCCAAAGTACAGCATTGTAACAGCTCCCGAGAAGAACTTAACTCAGAAAGGAGCACACCTGAAAACCAGAACAGAGGCAGATCAAGACGGCAGGAGCTGCCGGGGGTGGCTGGTGGGCTGGGGCGGCTGCAGGCACTGGGTGAAGGGCTGTGTTGACTCCCTGAAACACCGTGTTGTGGGCAGTGAGGAAGCACCGGCAGCTGCAGGCAGGTTTATAGCTGCAGCGATCACACAGCAGCAGGGAAAGCGAAACCATCCCTCCTTGGTGCCAAGGGAGGGGCTGAGGGTGCAGGTGCAGACACAGCTGTACGTAAAGCAGATCAACCTCAACACTTGAACCAGACCATCCCAGTAGCAACAGTGGYGTTTTGTTAGCTGAGCATCCATTGTGAGAAGGGCGGGAGTATCAAGCTTTACATGGCCATTTCTTGACTACTCTGCCACAAAAAAATTTGGAAAGCTAATCTTTAAAAATCTTTCTGGATCTATGCTCATGGACATTACCTATTAAAAAACCAACTAGCTGCACTGCTTTATGCAAGCACACCTGCACCTTSCTGAGGATAGGAGTAGAGATTTGCTCTCTGAAATGCCAACTGTGCTTCCTTCCTGATGCTGGTGGTCAGATGGGGAGGTGAATCCCGCCTGCTAGCTCCCAGGAKAAAGGGTGGGCTGCAGAAAAACAACGGCTCAGCACTTTTATCCCTGTGTCCAGCTGCTGCTGCATTGGCAATGCTAGCATCACACAACCAAAATGGTCTTAAAAAGGTCTTCAGGGTGTTTGGCTCCATTTTGCCTGAGGTGGAGGGTGATTAATGTGGCTCTAGTGGATCAAAATGCCCAGCAGCCACGTGCATCTTTACCAACATCACAACCACTTGTGCAGAACTTGCCAGCATTTGCTGGCACCCAAAGAAGCTTCCTCAAGCCACCAGCCCTGGCCACAGGCACTTGGCTGTKATCTTTGCACAACAGCTTCCAGCTGCAGCTTCAACCAAAAGGCAGCCAAGGCACAGGGACGGCAAACTAGCAAGGTCACGCTCTTGGAATGGATTTTGTACTATTTAGGGCAAAAACTTCCAGGCTTGGCTAGGTTTTTTTCCTCCTACCAAGTCATTTATCTATGAGCTAATGAGCACAGTGCTTAACTGCTGCTCTCCCACTGAGTGCTACAATGAGAGATTTCCTGGTCCAGAGTGAAACATCCCAGCTTACAATGGCAGTGACATCCCAGCTAGAAAGCTGAGGAGGTCACAGGAGCCTAGGGAGGCATCCTATCGCTCCAAGCCAGCAGCARCATGCGAGAAAGCAGAAGTATCTTGATGTTGATACTATTCTCTTTAATAAAAGCATCCTCCCTCATTGGCTGTCACTGAAAACATTGCCAGGATTGCAATGGGCTGGCCTGTGCCAGCTCAACAGCCAGATTCTTGTCGAGGGAAAAAAGCAAATTGCAGCCTTTTAAATTTTTTCCACTTTTAGAAAATTAGTCTCATTTTACTTATTTGACAACAACCATGTCCTAAGCTTATTCTAATTGCCTCCTGGCCATGAGCTAAACCAAGTCAAAAAACAAATACACACAAAAAAAACCCCAAAAACAAACAAACAAACAAAAAACCAAAAACCAAAACCAAACAACCAAACCTATCAAAGCCAACTGCATTTCCTATATACATCCATTTAGAATTTTCCCTTTGCAGGTTCTCCCTCCTTGTGCCAAAGTGAGGGCTGCACCAGGCTCCAGGACCATCACCCACTTGGGCTCTGGCATCCACCCCCAGCCGATGCTCAGTGGGCAACACTAAGGGCTGGGTACCCCGGAGGGGCAGTGGGGTGCCTCTCCCAGCTCACCAGATGTTCCCTCTGCTGCATGAACACCCCCAGGTCTGCACCCTTTCTCCTCAAAGCAGATGGCCAAAGAGCAAAACACTGCTGTAAGCAGCACTCGGACATTAACTTCAGTCACTGGCCCACGGGAAGTGGGGGTTTTCTGTTTGCCTCCAGAGGGCAAAAACCAGAGTGGATTTGTAGATGGGGTAGCAAAATTGTAAGACAAAAAGCAGACACTGACAGGAAACAGTGGGTTAGGAGGGCTAAAGGTTGAGGGGACCATGGGACATGTACCCAGCACAGCAGCTGCGTCCTCCTGCCCCAAGGCATCACTCCTTTAACCACAGAAGTATGAAACTAAAAAGGCTTTTCTCCTCTTTGTAAGCAAATCAGCCCCCCTTCCCCTGTCAGCATCGAGCTTGTAGTGGGTGCAGGAGTGGCCTCCTGGCCCAAAAGAGCCAGAGACCTGAACCAGCAGAAGAAAGGTTTCTACCCAACTGCTTAACCTGCTCCATGAGGCTCAGGGAAAACACTATTTGGATCCTTCCCAAATCCACTGAAAGTATCTTCTCAGGAATGTGAGATGCAAGCCTAATAAGCACARGTTTTAAAACTAGATAGGGCTAAGATTTAAAGCTGTCCTTCAGTTCAGGCATTTTATGTGTTTTAAGCAGCATCAGGG